TTTTTAACAAAAAATAAATAATTACTGTTCTATCTGTTCTATGATACAGTAGGATATTTTTACTCTTTCTGTTTCCTTTTCTAATAATATTTCTCTGAAATGCCTGCAGCCTTCAGGACATCCTTTTCTTTTATGTAGTGTTACAACTGAATATAGTCAACCGTAAAATTCACTTCGACTGTTAGCTCTGCTCTTTTCAAGCCCAACTCATACTTATTTCTTGTGTCAATCCAATGTGATGATATCAAGTTAAATATTCTTTCAACAAAATCATTTGGACATGGAATAATTGGGATTTTATTTACTAAAAACATCAGGTTTTAAAATCTGTAGGAATTTGTTTCCAGTTCTCAAAAAAATGTCCAATAACTTTGCATTGATGGCTTGTTTGGTAGGTAGACCAGCTGTTGGTTCTTTCTATTATAAATTCATCATACAGGTTATCCATGACTAAAATGCCCATTTTTAAAGACTCTGAAGCATGACAATGTCATCATAAGTTAAATCTCTCTCTCAGGAAAAATGGTTTTAAAATACAGAGCTAAGTAAAACTTGTGAAACTGCAGCTGAATTCCAAATAAATTAGAGTTTTAGTATAGAAATTGAGAAAATCCTGTTTAAGTTGGCTGTCCCTTTCTAGTGACATTTTTTTGCTCCTCAAGTAGTCTTATTTCAAAAAAGGAGTCATTTTGTTCACTAAGAGCTTTTGTCACAACCTACACATAACATGGAACAAGTCAGGTCAGTTAATCCTTTGTTAGGCTGTCTCTGGGCTCTTCAAAGAATATCCACCAGTTTTAGAGAAACAGCATATGAATTTCTCTTTACTGTAATTCTCTTTTCCAATCTCATTCTCAAAATATTTTCAAATTAGAGAAAGATATTCTTCTTGTCCCACACTTTGGAAATATGAATTTACTGCAGACCAACATTTTAGCATCTTTTCTACACTAGGCAAGAAGGACAGAAACAACCATTTATACTTTCTATTTCTTCTTGAGTCAGTTTGACAAGTTATGTATCTCTAGGAATTTGTCCATTTCATCTAAGTTGTTTAATTTGTTGTCACAAAGTTGTTCATAGTATGTGCTCTTACTTCTTTTAATTTCTATAGGGTCAGTGGTGATATCTCCTCTCTCATTCATGATTTGGCTAATCTGTGTATTCTCCCATTTTTTCATGTCTAGTCTATAGCTAAAGGTTTGTCAACATTGTTAATATTTTCACAGAACTATATTTTGGTTTTATTGGATTTTCACTACTGTTTTTCTGTTTTCTATTTCATTGATTCTCATTCTAATCTTTGTTTTCTTCCTTCTGTCTGCCTTGGGTTTATTTTTCTTTTCTTTTTCTAGATTTTTAAGGTGAAAACTTAGATTGTTGACTTTATATCTTTATTCTTTCTACTTAGACAGTTTTAAAGCTACAAATTTCCCTCTCAGCCCTGCATTAGCTGTATCTCATGAATATTGATACAATATGTTGTCATTTTCAAGTAAAAATACTTTATAGTTTCCTTGTAATTTCTTATTGACCCAGAAGCTATTTAGAAATGTGTTGTTTAATTTTCAACTATTTGTAGATCTCCCAAATTTCTTTCTGTTGATTTCTAATTTGATTCCACTGTGATCACAGAACATACTTTGTATGATTTCAATACTTTTAAACAGAGACGGGTTTTATACCTTAGCATATTATTTATCCTGGAGAATGTTCCATGTGTTTTTGAATATGTGTATTTTGCTGTTGTTAGAGGAAATGTTCTACAGATGTGTTACGTCTAACTGATTTATATTGTTGAGTCTCATATATCCTAGGTGAAATTTCTATCTAATTGTTTTATCAATTACTGAGAGTGGGATATTGAAGTTTCCACATATTATTGTTGAATTGTCTCTTTTTCCCTTCAATTCTATAAATTTTTGTTTCCTGTATGTGGAGGTTTTGTTTTTAGGTATATGTATATTTATAACTGTTTTATCACTCTGATCAGTTGACCCTATTATCATTATAAAATGTTCCTCTCTTCTTTACTAATAGTTTTATCTTAAATTCTATTTTGTCTGATATTAGTATAGCCCATTTGAACTCTCCTTTGTTTACTTTTACATGGTTTATATTTTCTATCCTTTTACTCTCAGCCTATTGTGTCTTTGAATCTTGACTTGGTCATTTAGTATTTGCATGACTGCGGTCATGTTAATTTGACTGCCTAGAGATCAGATTAAAATACACAGGAAAACTGTTATCAAGATTAAATAAAATGTCTGTGAGGTAGTTGTCCCTGGTGTAAGTAACAATTATTTGCAAGTATTACAAAAATTATTAATAATACTGCTAAAGAAGATTAAGAAAGCAGTAACTAAAATATATCCTCACCTTTTCTGACAAATACTGCTCGTAAATTCCAACAGCAGCTGCTCTTAAAAGACCTTTGGTTTGGTTGGTTTGATGTTTTCCATCTCTCTGACGACTTAATAAAACCTCTAGCTGCTGTTGGGCTGTAACCCGGTATCCTTCCACTGTCATCCAGAAGAAAAGATGTGCTTGGCCTCCAGTTTGCTGCATGTAATCTACCAAAGAAAATTCATAACAACATAGATATTAATGTCATATAATTTTGGGTCCATGCAGCTGGATAACAAGTAAATTAAAGGGATTAAAATTTTAAGTATTTAAAACTCTACATTTAGCAAATCCCTGAGGTGAAAAATAATTATAACAAATTGGTTAAGCTAAAAAAATAAAAGTTATATAAAAAACACACATGAAAGAGCATATTTAAAAAATTTTTAATCCCATTTTTCATGATAAAATTGCTAGTGAATTTGCTACAGAATGCTTTATCAGAAATAAATTACTTCAACATTAAACATCTGTTCTCAATAAAGATTATTAGTCATAACATGAATATTTCTAGATATATTATTAAATAAATCTCTACCTCCATGGTTTCTAAGGAAAAACGAACAAGTCAGAGAATAAAGGGTGTGGTCAACCTGACTGTGGGTCAAAAGTCCCTCATTATACAGAGGGTCCTGCCCCATACCCTGGAGGAAGGAATGCTACACAGAGAGGCCAGGAAGAACCTGAACAGAGAAGCCTTGCTGGGTTTAGATCATGCGCTTTTTGTCCAATCACATTTCTACACAGTTGTCAATCATGCCTATGTAATGAAGCCTCCGTAAAAACCTAAGAGGACTGAGTTCAGAGAGCTTCCAGAGAGCTGAACATGTGGAGGTGGACAGCAAAGAGAACAAGAGTTCATCCACATGCTGGGAGGGTGGCGCATCCCAATACCACAGGGACAGAAGCTCCTGCACTCAGGATCCTTCCAGACCTTGCCTTATGTATCTCTTCATCTGGCTGTTTCTTTGTATCCTTTAAGATATCCTTTGTAATAAACTGCTAAACATTAAGTAAATGTTTCCCTGAGTTTTGGAAGCCACTCTAGTAAATTAATCAAACCCAAAGAGGGGAATCATGGAAACTCCAATTTGAAGCCAGTGAGTCAGAAGTAACAAAGGCCCAGACTTAAGACTAGTGTCTGGGGTAGGGGTGGGGGAACATCTTGGGTAGATATTTCTGGGTACATAGTGTCAAAACTGAATTAGAGGATGCTCAGCTGGTGACTGCTACTTGGTGTGGGGGGGAAAATTCCACATTTGGTCACAGAAGTCTTCTGTGTTGATTGCTGTGTAGTTTAGAGGAAAGCATGTTGTAGAAAATGTTTTCCCAAAGCAATAATATTCAAAATTATTAAAAATTCCAAAGTAGATGTCAGAGTAGATACTAACAATTCCACTTGCAGAATCTGTCTGATGTAATTTAGAACTCTGGAGTCTACCTGCAACATCTAGAGGAAGGCTTGGGAGGTAAACTGTGGTTAATTTCAGTCAATTTCAGCTCCTAGCACAGTAGCAGCTACCCATCCCTCACCCTCAGACCCCTGGCAAGCAACTGTGCATGCATTCCAAAATCAGCTTGTGCAATGAAAGCAGGAGCAAGGGTGGGCAAAAAGCACCCTGCCCTCCATATATCTGGGATTTATGCTTTACTTGTTACACATCAGCTATTTTTCCAAGCCCCTGTCCTACCTGCTGAAGACACTTCCAGGGAATTTAAAGGACTGGCACTCTTTCTCCCTTGCCCCCTACGTTTTTATCTTTTTCTCCTGTTGGGAGCCAGGCATTAAAGAATAGCCCATTCTAAAGCAACTGCATATATGAGAAAGTTGCCAAGTGACTGCAGAGTGCAAGGCCGCAGTGAGCTATGATCATGCCATTTCACTCTAGCCTGGGTGACAGAGATACCATCTCTTAGAATAAAAAAAAAAAAAAAAAATATCAACTAAAACACAAAAGAAGACAGCTATGCAGGAAATAATGGACAAAAAAGATATAAGGCATATAGAAAACAAGTAACAAAATGACAGAAGTTCCCTCTCATCGATAATTACTTTAAATGGAAATGGATTAAACACTCTAATCAAAAGACAGAGATTGTCAGAATGGATGGAAAAACATGATGTATCTATGTTGTCTATAAGAGATTTACTTTATATACAAAGGCACAAAAACAGACAGTGGAAGGATTGAAAAATATATCTCATGCAAGTAATAACCAAAATAGAGCAGAGGAGGCTATACTATCAATAATATTAAGCAAAACAGACTTTAATTCAAAAAAGGTTAAGATACAAATAAGGTCATTACCTATTAATAAAAAGTTCAATATGGCAGAATAACAATTATAAACAATTACGTACCTAGTAACAGATTATAATATATAAAGCAAAAATTGACAGATTTGAAGGGAGAAAGAGATACCTCCACATTAGTAACTGGAGACTTCAATGCCCAACTCTCACTAACTGACAGAACAACCAGACAGAAAATAAGTATGGAAATAGAGAATTTAACACAATAAACCAAGTAGATCTAACACACATATAGAGAACACTGCCCAATGACAACAGAAGAATGTGCATTTGAGAAGAATGTGTATGCTATTGTTGTTGGGTAGTGTTCTCTATATATGTTAACTCTACTTGGTTTATTGGAACTTTTTCCAAAATAGACCACATGTTGGGCCACAAATTAAGTCTCGTTAGATTTAAGAAGATGGATAGTATATACAGTATCTTCTCCAACCAGAATGGGATGCAGTTAGAAATCAACAACAGAAGTAAAACTAGAAAATTCACAAATTTTTGGAAATTAAACAATACACTCTTAAACAGTTAATGGATCAAAGAGGAAATCATAAGAGAAATTAGAAAATACATAGACATGAATGAAAACAGAAACACCATACCAAAACTTACAGGACACAGCAAAAAAGTAAGACCTCAAATCAATACCAAACTTTACAACATAAAGAATTAGAAAAAGAACAAACTAAGACCAAAGCTAGCAGAAGGAAGGAAATAATAAAGATTAGAACAGAGATAAACAAACTAGAGAACAGTAGAACAACAGAGAAAAATCAATGAAAGCAGAAGTTGGTTCTTTGAAAAGAGCAACAAAATTGATAAACGTTTAGCTAGAAGGACTAAGAAAAAAGAGAAAAGACTCAAATTACTGAAATCAGAAATGAAAGTGGGGATATTGTTTCTACAGAAATAAAAAGTATCATAAAAGAGTACTATGCACAATTGTACACTAACAAATCGTCTATCATAGTTGAAATGGACGAATTCCCAGAACTAGAAAACCTACCAAGACTAACTCATGAAGAAACAGAACATCTGAGGAGACTTATAAGTAGTAAGGAGATTGAATCAGTAATCAAAAACCTCAATAAAGAAAAGCCATAGACCTCATAGTTTCACTGGTGAATTTTTACCAAACATTTAAAGAAAAAGTAACACCTATCTTTTTCAGACTTTTCCAAAAAATTGAAGAGGGAACACTTCCTAACTCATTGGATGAGGTCATCATTATTTTGAAAACAAAGCCAGATAAAGACACTACAGACCAATATTCCTTATGAATACTGATGCAAAAATCCTCAACAAAATACTGGCAAACCAAATTCAGCAGCATATTTAAAGTATCATACACCATGACCAAAGTGAGATTTATTCTTGGAATGCAACGATGGGCCAATATACAAAAATCAATCAATGTAATACACTACATTAACAGAATGAATAACAAACACCACATATCTTAATTGATGCACAAAATGCATTTGACAAACTACAATACACTGTCATGAGAAAAACACTCAACAAACTAAGAACAGAAGGAAACTACCTCAACATAATAAAAGTTGTATATGAAAAACCCACAGTAAATATCATACTCAATGGTGAAAGACTTAACGCTTTTCCTCTAAGATCAGGAAGAAGAAAAGGATATCTGCTTTTGCCACTTCTATTCAACATAGTACTGGAAGTTCTAGGCAGAGCAAGTACGAAAAAAAAATTAAATAAATAAAAAAGAAAGAAAAATAAAAAAGACATCCCGATTGCAAATGAAGAAGTAAAATGATCTCTGGTTACAGATGATATGACCTTGTAAGTACAAGACTCTAAAGATTCCATTAAAAAAATGTTAGAGTAACAAATGAAATCAGCAAAGTATCAGGATAAAAGTCAACACACAAAAATCAGTTGCATTTCTATACAAGAAAAATGAACAATCAGAAAAAGAGATTAAGAAAACAATTTCCTTTATGATAGCATCGAAAAGAAAAATTATTTTGCAATCAACCAAGGAGGTGAAGAATTTGTACAATGAAAACTACAAAACACCACTGAAACAAATTAAATATGACACATAAAATGGAAACATATCCAATATTCATGGATTAGAAGATTAAATATTGTAAAGATGTCCATACTACCCGAACTGATCTACAGATTCAATGCAATTTCTATCAAAATCCCAATGATGTTTTTTGCAAAACTGGACCATCCTAAAATTTATATAGAATCTCAAGGGACCTCAAATAACCAAAATAATCTCAAGAAAGAAGAAAAAGTTGAAAGACTCACACTTTCTGATTCCAAAACTTACTACAAAGCTATAGTAATCCAAACAAAAGGCATAGAGACCAATAAAATAGGACAAAATAGAAAGCCCAGAAATAAACCTTCCTATATATGGTCAAATAATAAGACAGTCTTTTCAACAAATGGTGCTAGGAAAACTGGATATCCACATGCAAAAGAATGAACCCTTATCTCATACCATATACAAAAAATTAACTCAAAATGGATCAAAGATCTAAATATAAGACCTAAAACTATAAAACTTTCAGAAGAAAACACAGGGAAAAAAGCTTCAGGAAACTGGATTTGGCAATGATTTACTGAATATGACACTAAAAGCAAAGGTAATAAAAGAAAATAGACAAAGTGGACTTAATGAAAATTTAAAAATTTTGTCCATCAAAAGACACTATCAACAGAGTAAAAAGGCAACTCACAGAATGGGGCATTTATTAGTAATACATAAGAGATTAATATCCAGAATATAAACAGAACTCCTAAAACTCAATAAAAAAACCCCAAGAATCCAATTCAAAAATAGGCAAAGGACTTGAATAAACATATCTCCAAGAAGATACAGAAGTGGCCAATAAGCAATGGTGCTCAACATCACTTGTCAGGGAAATGCAAATCACAACCACAATGAGATACTATCTCACTTTCCTTAGAATACTAACTACTTCCCAATCCAAAAAAGTTAAAACAAACAAACCAACAGAAAACAAGTATTGGGAGGATGTGGAGAAATTGGAACCCTTGTGCACTGTTGGTGGAATATAAAATGGGATAGTCGCTGTGGAAAACAGTATGTTGGTGCCTCAAAAAATTAGTAATAGAACTATCATATTATCTAGCAATTGCATTTCTGGGTCTATACCCAAAAGAACTGAGAGAAACAAGGTCTCAAAGAGATATCTGGACACCCGTGTTCATAGCAGCATTATGTACAATAGCTAAAAAGTAGAAGTAACCATGCCCATTGATGGATGAATAGATGAGCAAATATATACACACACATAAACAATATTATTCAGCCTTAAAAAAGAGGACAATTCTGACATATGCTACAACATGGATGAACCTTGAGGATATTATGCTTAGTCAGTCAGTTACAAAAAGACAAATACTGTACAAGTCCACTTATATGAGGTACTTAAGCGTAGTCAAAATCACAGAGACAGAAAGTAGGAGGGTGATCGTCAGGAGTTGGGGATACGGTAGATGGAGAGTTAGTGTTTAATGGTATAGAGTTTCAGCTTTGCAAGACAAGTTCTGGAGACTGTGGTGGTGGTGGCTGCTTAACATTATCAATGTATGTAATATCACTGAACTGTACACTTAAAAATGGTTGAGATGCTAATTTTATGTTAGGTGTATTTTACTACAATAAGAAAATTGGGAAAAGAATTTCAATGGCTATATCATTTAAATAAAATGGATTTACCTACCCATAAAAAATTGTAGTGCAACATTGTCTACAAGAATGCTGTCCAGGGGGACTGTGCAAAGTTTCCCAAAGTTTGCTGCCAGTTTCACAGTATTTATTTCCTACAGACAAAAGTGAATAAAGATTAATATTTTAGCAAATCACTCATTAGGTAAAAGATCTTTATATAAATGTAAGACATAAAACCCAACATTAAATGATTTAAAATGGAAAAAAAATAAAGTTTTTCCCTCTCATCTATGTTGCTTCCCAATAAAATAATCTCAGTCAGTGAATTTAAACGTTTAGTTATTTTATCAGTTGCTTAGCAAATATATACTAAAAATACAATAAATAAGCATTCGTTTCTTTCAATATAAAAAAATCCAAATCACTGAATCTCAAGCATTATCTATCTCTACATATTCCAGATGATAATGAACATTTCAGGGGCCAAAGGGAGAGGGGTATTTTTTAAATGTTTTGTATAAACAAACCTCAACATTTTCAAGTGTAGATTAAAGTCTGTTTACTGAAAAACCAGAAAATATTCCCAGAGAGCGATTTTGCTTCTAACACAGTAAAAACTCTATAATTGCTAGAGAAGATGTATTTCTTTTCAGATTATCCAAACAGTGAATTACATATACTTTTCAAAGTCATGGAACAAGGTGACAACCTACATATGAAAAAAAAGAAAAAACTGGATCCAAAATTTAAAGAGTATCTGTGTATCAGGCATTGTGCTAGTTACATTACACACATTACTTCATTTAATCTGTACAGCAATCCTACTGGATATGTATCAACCAATCCTATTCAACCAATAAAGAAAATGAAGATCAGAAAGGTTGCCTATAGTCACAAAGCTGGTAAGCGTGAGTCTGTGTTTTCAAATTCTGTTGCCCTTTCCAATAAAACTCATGATATTTCTGTGAATTATTTATTTTTACTAGCTTCTCTATATTCCTAAATCCGTATTTCACAACTCTCTATTTAAAAAAGAAAATTAAGTAGGTTTACTGTAAATGAAACCAGCTGCCTTATTCAGGGGCAGATACTAAATTAAGCATAGGTGGTACATAAAGGAAAAGGAAGAGAATTTTAAAAAAGGGAAAAAAATCTATCTCTGTAATTAGTATTTCTCTTCATATAAGAACTAGATAATAACAGATAACTGACTTTAAATATGTGGCACAGAACAACTTGGTGCCAGCACATGATTTAAGCATTCCTTCTTCAAATTGTATCACCTCTTTCTCCCGTCCAGCAGCAGCTCCACAGATGTGGTATGCAGAAGAGTATGCACTATATCTTTATTTGTAATATGAAAGGCTAAAGGGTCTTCTTAGATTTCAAGATCAGTAACATGGTTATAAAACTGCAAATCTGTGGGAATGCTGAAGTTACTTTCAAGAGGAAAATACTGAGCTAATAAAAAAATAAAGTTTAATATTCAAAATGGAATCGAAAGGCTTCCAAACAAAATACCTAAATTTTAAAAGGACTGAATATGAAAAAGTATTTGGGCAAACAGACTTTAAATAATGATGCTAAAGGAGGACTCACTTTCAGATCTAGATAAGGTAACTATTAATAAAGAAAAGCACAAGTACAACCGTATCATTCTTCTTTTTTAATATGCATAGGTATATAACTATATATAAACTAGTTTCAACATACAGTTAACTGAAACATAGGCATACATGCATACAACACACATGACAAATGCAGGCTTCAAGTAATGTTTTGGTAAATCATAATTCATCTAGCATGTTGCTCCATGAATTAGTATAAATATATTGGAGACAGGAAACGTCTCAGGAGTTTTGCAGAGCTTTGCCCTGAAGGAATATGTGAATGTATTAGTTTGCATATCGAAAACTGTTTCACCTCAGGAGGGCATCTCTGAAAGACAGTAGCTGCTGAATCCCACAAAGCGCCGAGGTTCTCAGACCTAAAGGTTTGGATTTGCTTTGTAAAGCAAAGCAGATCTGTTAAAAACTACAGGATGAGAGCTGATCAAAGAGTGCCCGCCCTAAACAGACAGCCACCCTGGCAATAAGCAATTAGCCCAAGGGACAGTTCCTGCTTAAAACTCCGGACTACCTGTCTCCATTCACAATAACCTGATAAAGAAAATATGGAGCCAATATATCTCTGTTTAACCCCTGTTAAGTGATAAATTTACCTTAGAACTTAGAAGTTAGTCTTTGAAAGATTTTGTAACCATTTGTTCATGTAGATAGAATTAGTTAAGGGATCTGTAGAAGCCTTTTGCAAAACTATTAACCTACAAGGAACTACCTGCTGTTATGTAAATCTGTTACCCCTGGTAACTGTACTGTACCTGCAACTGATCACTGTACCTATAAATGACCATGTAAAACTTCACTCTTGGCCTCTGAGATTGATGGAGAAATCCAGGCTCCCTGAGCGCCCGCTTTGCCTATAATCTTTATAAATCTATAAAACTATACCTTCATCTCTGTGTATTCTTTTATTTCCATTATTTTCCATTTTATATTATTTTCTTATCCCTTGCAACTCTACCAAAGGGACTTGGTTTTTTGCGGGGAGTGTGGCCGCCTCCCTGCAAGCACACTAAAAAGTTTTTTAAAAAATAATTTTTCTATTCCTTAATTTAAATACATTGCAAAATTACAAGACCAGAGAGTCAGAGATTTTCAAAACAGAAAACCAGAGCAAAAAAGGTGACTACACTAAAAACTAAAGGTACAAAAAAATGTTTTTTTCTTCTGCTTTGAAGCCCTAAATGCTCTGCTCTCCCTTACAGTAAAACTCTTCTAAGGGGCAACTATTATTACTGTTTCTAATTCATCTCTTCCCATTCTCTCCTGAACGGACTCCAATGAGGCTTTTCCTACAGTACTCCACCAAAACTGCTCTCATCAGATCACCAATATCTCCATGGCAGTAAACCCAATGGTCAATTCTCAGTCTTCCTTTCACTTAATTCTTATACTTTGACATGTCTGATCTTTCCCTTCTTTAAACTCTTTTAACACTTGGCTTCTAGGATATCACATGCCCAGGTTTTCCTTCAAACTCACCACCTGCTCAGTCTTTGTTTGGCTGGATCCTCTACTTCACTGAAGTGTCTTAGAACCAAGTCACTGGTATCTTTTTACTTACACTAACTCTTTTAGATAACCTGATACAATCTCTCAACATTAAATAAACATATAATAATTCTGAAGAGTCACGAAGTTTATCTCCATCATTAAACTTTCCCTTGAACTCAAGATTACCAGGTTAATCTATCTACTTGAATGTCAAACAAGTATCTTAAATTAAGATATTCAAAACTTGATTCTCTCTTCCAAACTTTCTCCTCCCTCAGTTTTACACATTTTAGTAAATAACACCACTCTTCATGCAGTTGCTCAGGCTAAAAAACCTTGGAATCATCCTTGAGTTTTTTTTTTTTTCTCTCACCCAGTATTTAGTCCATTAAGCAAATCTTGTTAACACTATATCCAATCTCTAATCACTTCTCACAGCCTCCACAGACATCTCTTACCTTAAAGACTATTACCTTAAAGGCGTAGTCTTATAAATGATCTGTCAGTTTCCATTCTCACCGCCACCATCCCACCACAGTCTATTCTTCACAAAAAGTCAAAGTAATCATTTTAACTCATAAGTCAGGTCACATTACTTGCCATGGGAAATCTCCAATTGATTTCCATCACAGTTAGAATAAAATAAAAATCTTACTATGGCTAGTAAGACCAAACATGATCTAACCTCCAGGTTCTTCTATAACTTCATTCCTAGCACAATCCCTCATTCATTCCATACCACACTGACCTCCTCTAAACTCACCAAGGATGTTCCTATCTCAGGGTCCTTGCATTTGCTCTCATTCCTGCCTGAAATATTCTTGAAAGACAAACAAAAACAAATCACAAGACTAACTCCCTCATGTTATTCAGATACTCTCTCTCCTCAAAAGTCACCAAACCTCTTGGGATCTATTTAAAACATCCCCCCAAAAAAGCCAGGTGCAGTGAATGCTGTACACTTGTAGTCCCAGATACTCAGAGGGCTGAGTGGGGAGGATGACTTGAGCTCAGGAATTCAAGACCACGCTGGGCAACATATCAAGACCTCATCTCATTTAATATCTCCTAAAACAGTCCAAGACATTCTCTATGCCCAACTCTGTTCATTTTTTTTAAATAGCAGATATCACCACCTGATACTATATATCAATTTGCTCACTGATTTACTTTTTGACTCAAGAAGTAAAATGTGAGCTCCAAGAAAAGACTTTGTCTATTTGGCCCATCTAAAATGGTGCCCATTCACAAAATTCAAGAAATGTTAAATTTTGAATAAATAATACATGAGTAAACGAATAAATCAAAGAATAAAATAAAATCTGTAATTAATTTAGCATTTTTCAGACAGTGTTTTAATTAATCCCTTGGACTTGTTTTAACAAATACATATCATACTACATTGTATAACAAAAAACTTTTCTGAAAGTCCTGTTGTAATGTGCCGCACTGGTAAATGCCCTACTTTTTGTAATTTACTAGGTATTTTAACCACTATGCAGTATTTATAACTAAATGTTAACTCAAAAGTACTTTACTTACTTTGCCTGACTGCAACCGCTGTATTCTTGAGTCACATACTTTCTTTACAAATAGTAAGCTATTTATTTGATTTTTGATAGTGTTGATATCTAAAAACAAACAAATTGATTATGAGCTTTAAAGTGGTAATTTGCGAAATCTTTTCAATATGCACTTACTGTAATTTAACAAAATAACCAACTAATAAGGCAATTATTTTATTCAATAAAAG